TCTGGAGTGTGAGTATCCCGACCTTTGCTTCCCTTTTCGACTTCAATTGAAACAGTTTGAACTTCCATCACTTCAATCCGCCGTAAACTCATACGAATGTGTCTTTACTTCAAGGGAATTCGGATGATAAAATTTTACTGGGAACCCCATAGGATGATTGGTGCTTCGATGATCAAACGGGACCAGTGAGATCGAGTCTATCAAAGCCTCATCCATTCATAATGATTTAATATCTACACGATCAAATAAAAGTACTGTATGAAAGCGTTACCACACCATTATGTGAGGTTTAATAGGTGGGATCTGTACCTTGGTCTCCCTCCCTCCCCCGGGGAACATTTTGTCATTGACGACAGTCTTTCCTTGATCATCAAATTAATAACTGGCCAATTAAAAGTGATGGTTTCTCAAATAAAACCTGAAGTGGTATAGATGGAAATAAACTAACCTGACGATGATTATCTTCCAGCGGATACATAATAAATTGTGTTGCGACAATTTGAATTGATAATTCGATGACCACATATATGTAGACATTTCAGTATGAGTTGTTGTTTGAGCGGGTAGAACATTTCGTTGATTTAGTGGTCGATATTCCATTGAACCCAGATTTCTCTTGAATTCTGCTACCTATTCGGATCCAATGTCTAATGTTTTCATTGAAAGGCACCATTCACTTGAATGTAGAAAGGAAAATCAGTGTGACAGACTAGGCATTTATTTACGGATTAACACTAATAGGATTTCCTTCCACGAGCCCTCAGATGAGGTACCGTTTTGTGAATCGCTGAGGGAAATAAACAAACAGTTTTCTTCTTTTTTGTTTATTGATTATACAAATGTGCAATGAAATTTCAGGAATGGAGCCGCGAGAATAAAATTTTGCATGGAGACATACAAAAACGGAGATCTACAGTGGTCGCGTGGTTCTAAAGGTAAGTAGCAAACGCTCTGATATCCAATGGCTTACATTTACCGTCAGTATTACTGATCCGGGCATAAAAATTATTCACTGCTCCCCTGTTAGGAACTCGATGGAATGAACAGTGCAGTTAGCTTTTGACCCAAGAATCACTGTCCACACAGCGACCTTAAGCAGATCAAAAATGACTCCCACTTCATCCGCACTCCAAAGATATTCAACAGTTGGTGACTGTTTGAACTAATTAGAAGTATATTCCGATGGTTGATGTTTTGCACCATTTGAAGCAGTGTCAAACTACGCAACTTATGTGGCTCTTTAAAATCACCGTTCGATTTTTACACTACTCCATCCGCATTGAGTTTTTTCATTACCACTTGACCTGGAAAACACTGCCTACCAAGGGATTATATCTTTATGTATTTATCCACAAAAGCAAATTAGAACCCAGGCAAGTGAAATGGTAGGTGTGCGGTAGATTCTACGAATTTTCTCGAGTACCCGGCATCGTGATTCCAACAACAATCAATTTATATTTCTCGGCCACAGCAACCTTCACCGATTTAAACAAAAAAGTTATTGATGTAACGACCTTGGCAAATTGCCATTCCGTTTGAGTGTGAGTTGGGTTCATGTCTCACTGGACATTTTGGTTCATGTTGTCTACTTTTTCCTCTCTTTCAGATTGTCACTCAAACCCCTCTCCACAGAGAACATCCTGTCTGTCGACGATTCTAGCCCACACCTAGACTTGCGGTTGTCTGGTTTATCCGTTCACGGGCTACATCCTGTCACACACACGAGACAAGCATCTGCCCCTACTTTCCACCATACTGCGAGGCGGGCATGTACATACCCAACCCTCCTCCAGCCTGCCCGCACCGAACAAGTTTATCTTGGGAGACAATTTCCGACGCTGGGCTGCAGATGCCTAAGTATATATTTAGTTGTTCCCAGAGGACGACCGGCGGCGTGTTCTGCTTTCCCTGTTGGATGGTGAAGCGAAGGATATAGCCAGCGACGTGCTCCTGCCTGTCGACACCATAGCCGCGAACTCATTCCCCCGTCTGCGTCAGTATCTTACGGATGATACCGACAGGTTGACGGCCCGATACAAGTTACAGACGACGGTCCAACAGCTCGGTGAAATAATTCATTCATTCATTCGACAGTTGCGACGCTGGGCTGAAGATGTATTCCCCAAATGAGGCGATGAAAGCATAGACTCTTAAATCGGAATCATGATCAGCAACGCCGTCTTGATCGATGGGTTGAACATTTCGAGGCTCAGTTCAACTGGCTCCCGTCGACACGTGAACTGTCACCCTCCACCTCGACTGGGAAAATACTCCTAGTTGATGCCAGTCCTCTATTTGAAACGAAGGTTTCCCGGGAAATAAGTTTTCTGGCCCAGACGGACTATCCCCATCGGATTTTAAAGATGGAAGTTCACCCTTGGTTTCGGAGTTAAATAAAATACTGGGCTTCGTTTGGGAGAGCTAAGAGGTCCCAACTAAATGTTATGAGTCGATGATCATGCCGATTTACAAGAAAGGCGAAGGTCTTCTTGTGAAAAACACAGAGGAGTTAGTTTAACCAACATTGCTTTGAAACTTTTCGCTGGTATCATACTCCGTCGATCGTCTGCCGCACGTGAAGAGTGCACGCGTGAGAACTGCGCTGGTTTCAGACCTGGTCTGGGTTGTTTCGACTACATCTTCACCCTTCGCCAAACCCCAGAGCACCGACATCCTTATCGTAGACTCATCTCCGTCTTTCTCGATCTGAAAGTGACTTTGGATTCAGTCGACTGCTCTAAAGTCTAGCGCTGCCTTTCTGTGGAGGGTGTGCCCGAGAATTATATTTCAATACTACGATCCCTTTATAATAGCAGCCTAAGTCGAGTCCGAGCGTACGACACTTTTTCGCCCGAGTTCACCACGGAAAGGGGCATTTGTCAGAGTTGCTCTCTCTCCTTTTCTATTTAACTTTGTCATAGATTTGATAATGGGAAGAGCCCTATCCTCATTCGAGGATAGTGGCATTGACTTACTCCCAGGCGGCAGGCTGTCTGATATAGAGTATGTAGACAACATTGTGGTGCTAAGTGAAGATCGGAATAAGTTGCAAGTTTTTCTTGATATATTGAGGGCCAGCGTAGCCATGTTTGGCATGCGTTTTGCACTTGTAAAATGCTGCTAAAAGCCTAGGTTGGTCCAGCACCCAGCCTCACTCTAACCGAGGAGGTATTAGTAGAGGTGGATAAGTTTTGTTATCCGGACAGTTACATCTCACCCGGTAGACACATCACGATGAAGGGTCTGCTAGCATACAGAAGGCTTGGTCGGCATTTTACAACTTGAGACATCTGTGGCGCCGTCGCGACATCCGGTTATCTGTGAAACGTCTAGTGTATGGAGCGGTAGTTTGGCCTGTTTTAAGATACCGCGCAGAAACTTGGCCGTTAGGAAGCAGGACAAAGATAAACTGCCGGTATTTGAACACAATCGTCTACGTTGCATTGCTCGAATAGGTGTCCACTTCGAGCGATGTTTGTCGAGGCAGGTAGCGGTTGGAAAAAAAGCAAGGGTGGTCAAACTAAGACCTGTCATGGGGGTATGAAAACCCTGAGCAGGAGACTGGCTCACATAGGTCCCGTTAGGCTCCCTGGTTAGGGGCCTCGAGATGATGGTCACCAATGATTAGAGACACTGAGCGATATGGCTGGGTGTCGCAAAACAGTGACGCTCATGCATATGCTCAATATTCTCGTAACTTCAGTCTATGTTAATGCGCTATCTTCCGCTTGAATCTGCTCTTAACATTCTAATCGTCATTGTGCTGTTTTATCCAAGTGAGCAACAAAAAGACAGCAACCAAAACCGGTGCACGAAAGTGCATGGTTAGTGGTTGGTCAAAACGAAACCGAAACTGATCACAATGCTTTTGTTGTCCTTGATAAATCTCCTTCGCTGAATATGCTTTCAAGAAAATGTTCAAAGCTGGGTATTTGCCAAATTATTATTTCACCAATTCTACTCAGTTCACACTGTGCCATGGTAAATTTTCTGCGACTCCTCTTGACAACTCAGCGGTGCTAAAAAGTGCAAATTCTTTTTCCACCTCTCTTTTCGTTGTCAGTAAACTTTGTTTCTGTTAAATTCATTGGGGGTAAATAAGTCGATGATGTAGTACTTAGTAGTAATTCGTCATGATCAAGGAATCCTATGGATTCCAAAGGGGATTGATGGAATCATGAGGTGTTCAACATTATTATCATTATGAACGCCTTGAAATGGAGGGCTTTGATTTTTTTGTTATAGTTTGGTGAGCCATACCGGGTCCTAAGAATCGGATTTCTCACTCTTTTCAGTAATGATCACTTCATACCAAGTTACTGCAGCGTGAACTATATCGCGATATCTTTAACTCAAATTTTTCGTAGTCCACACATACCCACGAGAAGTTTTGTCACATTTTAAGACTACTAATTTTCTCCCTTAAGATGAAAATGCTCCTAGTACCAAATAAGTTTTTCCTCAAGTATGTGAATGCTTTAGTATATCATCAGCCAACTATCTTTCCTGATCTTTTTGAGAGAGATTTTATTCATATGGCTTATGACGATGTCATAATTTGCCTGAACGATAAAGGAAAATGTGCATTTACTATATAATGAAAATGTTCACGGATTAGACAGTAGCACTCTACTATTCAGTTTGAAATATCACTTCATGAATAAAGATTCGAGCTTGAGATTTTACAAACGTGTGACTTCCATATTGAATTAGTTTGGCTTGCGCTTTGTGATCTAGGTTTATCTTCCAAGATCAATTAATGAGCTTTAATCTGGTTTGAAGGCTCGAGGCGCAGTGAATTGCATAACCTCCAGACCAATTGAACCGGATTATTTACCAAAACAAGAATGGCTTTGCTATGCCACTGTTTTATTTTGTCACATTCGCGCTACACTCAGATTTCAAAACAGAACAGGTAGAAAATTCTTATTTTTGGTTTGGAAAACGGATACAAAACGATGTCCAAAAAGGAAAACCTTTGCTCAAATTGTGGGACAGGTTTAGTTCTTCTTCCTCCAGACTAGCACCTCGTATTCACGCATGGGAATCTCCTGACCACCCCAAGGGAAATAGGCACTATTATGTCCGGCGTGCATCTGTGTGGTAAAAATAGAGTTTGCATGAAAGACAATGGTATATAGGAAGGTGGCTGACTAAATAGAAAGATTGCAGGTAAATAATAGATTTTAAGTGGTATATTTTCAAGTGTCGCAACATCAGGGATGTGGAAAGAAGGATTGGGCGTTGGGCAATGCATGCATGCAGAAGGAATATAAAACCACAGACTGTACCAGCGTAGATATATTGTCATTGTTGAATGTTTTTATCATTGATGAATTTGTGAATACGAATGAGACTGCGTTAATGTTTCCTCTAACTGACAGTGCGAAAATGGAACCTTGTGAAAAACGATCGCTGTAACACTTGGCCATCAAGTTGTTTGTGAACTTAAAACACGATTTCAAGATGATCTATCACATATCACACATTAAGGATCAAGTAATCCAAAACTCAGACTGCATAGTATGAAGGGTGATCATCCTAACTTCCGGTATTGGTATATTTTAACCCCAAGAGTTGAGGTACTTCCGTTACGCTTTGAGGTAGCACAGAGTAAACACTACCCCTGAGGGACGCACCAACGATCTAATCGAGATGAACGTCAGGTAAACAATCCTAGCATACACTCTGTACTTAGTCTGATGTGATCACAACCAGATCGACGAACCCAAATAACCGTATATAATTGTAATGGTCCGTTGATGAATTTATGGAAAAAGATGTTTTTGTCTACAATCACAATATAGAGTAAACATGAGTACGTTTAATGCATTTTCCCGCAACAGACACGGGTCAAAACACCTGTTTCCAAACACGTGTCATTCATTCAGCCAATTGCGATTGTAAGTGACATTAATAGTCAATGATCAGCATCAGACATAAGGATTAGGTCCTCTTCGCCGCGGATTAATCCTCATGAGCCTTCATACACAGCCGCAAATCGTGTTGCTCATTTGGTCACCGAACGGGAGATAGCACTTTAATAGAACCTGGAAATTGAGTTCCGTTGTAGTAATCAATTTGAATATATCATTATTATATGTCTTCAAATCAAATCTCATCCATATTGATTTCATTAAGAAGCTTTCGTTTTGGGGTTTAAGCACCGGTTCAGTTCTGGACACATGTTCCAAGTGGATAGCCGTTACCAACTGTGATGTTTCATATAATGCTGACTCATCTAACTTTACAACGACTGACGACATATAGACGACGCACGGAGAAATATTCTAATCAGTTTTGCGATTGTACATTATATATAGAACCGATCCTTAAATGAAACCAGATTCTAAACAAAGATTCAACTTATAACACGCATTTTGAAATACCGTTCTGAGATCGTCCAGTGACGAACTCAGAAGGTCCGGATGCTTGGAGAGGCATTATGTGTCATGTTGAGTGCTGGGTTTTGTACCCAAGCATAGTTACTCGGCCCTAATTTTGACTAAATGCAGACATCATCCAGGTCTGCCTACACTTTCATCTTTAGGCCAAACTCTTGTATTCACAAACACCACAAAATTGCTATCACTTTTCCGTTTGTGTTGCGCTACAATTGTTTCCTCCTACAGTTTAAGGGTCTGGTTAGACTCCCTACTGGCGGTGGACGTAGCAATTATATTTAAACCAATCGAAACGACTATTGACATACACTCTGATGCTGATATACTATTGTTGTAAGTTAGCCATAATCATTGCGTAGGATACGTCTGAGTACTGATACTGAGAGCAGTATTACTCATACCATTTCCGCCTGGCTTTAAAATATTTATTAAAATTACTCTACGTAATTTTACTGTCCCGAAGATGTGCTCATGTTAGAGGATACCCTCCCAATGTTGTCTCACCGTGTAGCAATTTTTCAACCCTTAAAAACATAGTGTTGGAGTATGTTAATCATCCAGATGTCACGTGTATGAAAGCATTAGAATTCCAATATGCTTACCAGCCCAATACTGCGAAGTACAATAAATAATAAACGAGAGTTTCTGTCGAGAATTTTACTGAGGTTTTGGTGCACAAATGATGATATCATCAAAACCATAGAAATAGGGTCATATCGCCTTCGCGGTGCTGATAAATCAACAGAATTTCATTATTATATATGATGCCTGTCCAAAGTGTCTCGAAAGTTTTACAGAGTAAATTGTTCCTTCGTCACATTTTGGTGATCTCGAAATCTTGCCTAAGGACAATGGGGCCCAATTCAATAAGAGAAATTTTGTTTATTTTTATCAAAATCTTGGAATTCACCATGTGGAAAGAACTGCTCATCACACCAAATCAAACGATTGGGCGAAAAGCTTTGTGGACACATGGAAAAGAGCTTTAAAAAGCTGCAGGGTCACTAATGATATTGGAACACACGTTCAGAAGCGAGCAATTGTTTTCATTGGAAACCATTTTTTTGCCTCTAAAAAGGGGTGTTCATATGTCACTAAAGATGCTCAATAAAGGTTGGATAATGTTAGCCCTAGACAATATTGTATCATTCCTAAACAATGACCCACAAGCAAAGGCCTTCCTAGGCAGGCAAATGCAACTACCGTGAAGCACAATGTGACCCTCGATTACATCAACCATTCAGAATGGCTAAATGAAAAAACGCTTCGGCAGCTGTCCTCATGTAGCAATACGGTGATTCACAGACGAGTAAAGAGTTGACGTTCTCAATTTTCGACAAACCCACAAACAACAGATATCAGAAGTACTTTTGAGTTGACTGGAGAACGACATGTACGGCGATCAGCTGGATAATGTTACATTACATCTTAATGTTAATCACATCAGAAAACGTTAAAGCGCGCCTTCAGCGAACGAAACAGCAGTTCTGCTTCCAGGATATCACCAAATCAACATTCTATTAAGTGGAAACCTGTAATTACCAAAGTCTTTTGGTATTACAATGTGGGAACTGGATCAGTTTGTAACACGTGAAAACCAACCGTTAAGATGAGATATTATAATTAACTGAATGTCAGAATATATGTTGGAATATTTGACAATTTCCAGCTTATAACGATACATATTTGCAGGTCTGAAACTACTGGAACTTTTCAACCAGTAAGATACCATGCTTCTGTATGCAACTAATTTGAAGGAAATCAGTTAAGTTCGCGGTGGCTTACGTATCACATGATTTATGGAATCAACTATAACAACTGTTGACAGCATTTGACACTAAATTCATCCATGAATTCCATTTCCAAGCCCGAGGTTTGTCTCAGATTGACTTGCACAAACACACCTACGGTTAGAAAACAAATTTTAGTTTGACCAATGCGTTTGTTTACACGACTCCTAAATATCAAGTCTGTATGAACATTTTTGTAACACAATACGCATCACTCACCTTGCCAACACATACTTCCCCTTGTACTCGACCACGGGCAACAAATACTGGATTGCCATCACCAGCGATTGCCGCACAGACAGACGAGTTCGGTACATTTCCATCTCTCGCGAATTCCCAAGTATAACTGAAGAGTGAACCAAAAAGATGGGAACACTTCGTGATCATGATCGTGNAATTCGTAAGTGATCAAAATGGAACTCGTGTGCATTCAATAGTGAGAATGGTGCTGGTCATGGTAACGTTGATGTTTGATATGATTCTAAAACAGCTAATTATGAGTTTTATGCACAATATTGAAGTTTAATACACTCACAATTGTCCGTATCCTTGACCCGTCACGCACAATATTTCTGGATGGTGAACTGAGACTTCCTGACCACCGTATGGTACGTACAATGTGCTATGTCCTTGTACATATTTACCTGGTACCATTTCAGATCCCATCATACCACGCCCCACATACACATTATCACCGGCACAAACTGCATTCGACGGTAAGTGTTTTTCATGCAACGGTACCCAGGACAAAGTCATTTGATATCCACCTTCTACTTTCGCCATTTTTCACCTCTGCGAAGAAACAAAATGGGTAAAATTACAAATTGAGAGAGATAGGAAGTCCGGGTTGATAGTGAAAGTAGACACATCAGAAGAAAGTTGATGCATATTACGAGTTGCTTGCTGCAAAGTTTTGCTAAAAAGATCGCGTTATGGTTTGGAACGCATGTAACAGACGACCGCTGAGACCAATTTGATACATAAAAGATTTCGTGCAATTTAACTGCGCTTTTTCATCATTTGACCCCCGAGGTTTATAAATCATAAACCGGCATCAATCTTTACACCGAAATGTAGTGACTTGCGAAATCCTTCCATTAGGAGTAAAAGGTCGGCCATGAAAGCTTATTTTCGTAGCAGAGTTATCATGAATTACAAATAAAACTCTCCTGATTTCCCAAATACAAGCACGAAGTACTCCGTTTTAAGTAGAACTTGATGTCTCCATGATTCATTGACATTTATCATTATTACCCGATATTTCCAACTGATTCTGAAAATACTTCACTAAGTCTTGCGTCATTTCGATCAATATTCGAACGTGCTGAGAATCCGATAACTGCTTCTTATGAGGCCTCGGCTAATCTGTTTAGGAAGTGTGACGTTTCCCTTTCTAAATATTGAACGAAACAGCACCATACGAATGATCATTGCGGTTAGTTATGAGTAGGCATTGGTATCCAAAGTCAACTCAAATCGGGAATCAACCTAGTTCGTCCATATACGAGAAATTGGTAATGAAAATAATAATTTTGTCAGCTCTGGCGTACATGAACGCAAGGAAAAGGTGGATGGTTTTTGAGATATTTTATAAGGCTGCCTCGAGGAAGGAAAAATAACATGCAATGACCATTGAGATTCCCAATGCACCTACACGTAGTTTTGTTCCAGCGCATGAGTTAATTGTTCTCTGTGAACCAATAACCCAAAATTGTGTGAACCAAATTTGAAAAGCTGAGTGATATTAGCACATTGCGGGTAGCAAAAATGGACATACATCGAGAAAGCGTTTGATGCAGCGATTTGAAATGCAACTGAGACTCACATGGCCATCTACTGTGTAACTGCAATCACACTTTGGGTCCTTTCTCAAAAATAGGAAATACTACTTCTACTTTATTACCATTGAGTATTCAGTTCAGGTGAAACCTATCGCTGCAAAAATGTAAGCTGATCGCACCCCTATTAGTTCTTACTCATTGTCACACTTTGTGCTGATTGTGTTTATTGAAATCACCTATGGTAATGTGGTTGAACCAAAATCATCTGTATCTAACTTTTCCATTAACCCTTACCATTATCTTTATCTCTTCACACGGTCAAACATTTATTGTGGCACCCTTTAGCGTTACTAAGTCACACCTCCGAAAACGATAATCTACGTGGTCTGATGCACAGTGTTGCTTATCGTTTTAGACCCCTAGAGCTTGTCAGGTTGAATCCCGTGAAGGTCATTTAACAAGTCTATTCTTTTAGTAGTCAGCAGCTTTGTTTCTTCCGGTTCAATAGCACTTCTAAACTGCTGGTACCTTGGGCTGTCCAATACTCCTGGTCTCACAGGGTTTAGGTTGTCCATCACTTTGAGTTGAAACGAAGATTATAGTGATCATGGTATTGACTTCTTCTACTGTTGGTTGTAGTCAGCTGTGCAATGGAAAAGTAAAATCTATTTTATGCTCACCGCTCTTGAGCATTCCAGAAATAGGTATGTACTATATTCTCATTTCAGACTCTAAACATGTCCCATGGTTTACATACGTCTTCAGTCGCGTCATCCATATGACTGACACGATCAGGCTTGGTTGTGTTCCCTGTGCAATCGGGGATGATCGTGCAAATACAGTATAGTTGAAAAAGGTGTTCGAAACAGATGCTCAGTGATTCTGTTTGGTCGGTTCTTTACAACCGCAATGTAAAAATCTTTAAAAGATTACCACTCTGTAAGTTTGACCACGAGCAATCGCAAATGCATTAATTGAGTGTTCTTTAATTGCACACCGAAATAGGGTAGATTAAAAACGAGGACTTACGTGATACCGTTCGTCACCCCGGTCGACGCAGAAAAAGTGCCGTAGTGTCGTTCATAAAATAAATAACGTAATTTATACTACCACCCACTTGTTTCGGTGAATCAATAAGCTGATCAAAATGAGCAAGTGAATCATGAGTGAACTAAACGCCAACCAGTAAAATGTTTTGAACGTTGAAAACGCATCAGAACTAATGATAGTGGGTGTGAATAATCGTCTGCTTCACAAAATGAAGCTGACTGATGCACAGACTGACTAACAAAACGAGGGAAACCCTTTAACAGAAGGTTGAATTTCAGTTTCGAAACGGACGTGCGAGAACTTGTTCAAACCTCAAATGTTCAGGGATGACCTAGTCTGCGGTTCACCTGATATTTTAGAACTGTAGGAACAACTTGTGTCACACAACTGATAAAGGTGAATAAATGCTTTTGGGTGGAAGCAAAATAGTGTTTTAATAATTAACATGTTTTGAAACGTGTTTCATAGAACGAACATCATCATAATTTCAAAAGGGTTAATTGAAGTGACTCAAAAAAGAACCTAAAAGTTAGACTTGTAATATCACTGACCTGGAACAGGGTGGCATTGTGTGGTTGATGTGTGAGTGTGTGATGGTTGAGAGCAGTCAGTAAGGAAGACAAGTGACGAGTATCCTTACCAACGGATCACATGTTGCATTCAGTGTACAGCGAGTGAGAGTGAGTGCAGTGCCTACACACGTTCGGAGACCAACAATTGTTTTCATTGATTCATCTTTAAGTCTGTACAGATAGTTTTAAGAAGGAACATCACAAAAAAGGTGGGCAATCAATCGCCCAAAGGTCAAAGTGAATGGCTGGGACAACGATTGTAGGTGAGTTTTTCACACCATTGGGTTACCATAATACTGGAGTTACTGAGTCACAATCGCAGTCGATCTTTGGCCGTGCCCATGGCCTGGGCAGACCTCTTTTGTGCTAATCGGCTGGTTGTAAGCAAACGAATGCGGATTGGTTTCTTGGTGGTATGACGAAGCAACAATTTGGATGAATGAGGTGGTACAAAATAGGAACCTTTGAAAGCTGATTCAAGCCTCAGTTGATGATCTGAGTGTACTAGTTGAGTGAGAATAGCGCTTCCTGTGAGTGACTTTTTCCACGGTGTCGAGGTCAGACCGGACAAGGCTATTTAATCCACTAATACAGTTGTTTGGGCGTTTGGCCGAAATAAATTGCGATACAAACACAGATTGAGGAATTGATGATCATAGATGAGACCAACGTAAGTATTTTCTTTTTATTGAATGCTCTAATTATTGATTTGCCCGAAGATTGGCTTGACGAACTGTATGCATTGAAGGCTCTTCTCACAGCTTCCAATAAATGATTTTTTAATACGAGAAAAAAGATCGTCTCCTTTGAGTGGCTGTTTATATGCATCGTTTTCGAAACTATATGATCGGGCTAATATTTCAGCTAAACGTCTAGTTTTCTTCCGATAAAATAACTTCTAGGTTGTCAGTTTTCCCTTAGGATGCTTCAGATTAGACTAGATTCATCTGACTAAAGGAAATCCGTATTCATTGCCACAATGAAAATACTTCAGAATATCAAAAGTTTATTGTAAAATATGTTATAAGCTCTAAAAGCAGTCGTTTGAAAACAACTTAGCGACTGAGTATTAGCTGTCATTCCTAACCGATGACGGCGTTTTAGCCATGCTCAGCGCAGATCAATTGGTAGTTGCGAATCATTTACTCCTGTTAGGATCCCCAAGAACTTCAGCATAACCCTATCTTGTTTATCAATTCAACATCATTATTGTACGAGATAACTTAAAAATTATGGTGAAGGAATAATTGAAAAATTACCGTTCAATTTGGGTATTTAACGCAATGGTTTGGTGAAGTTAAAAATTTCACTGAAACATTCCCATCGTTAAGGTTGACAGAACAACACGAATAGTGGACATACTCATTTTCAATAACTTCTTCCTCTGGCTAATACGGTCATATATATAAATTTAACAAGTGTGCGAAAAATTTTCAGAATAAATATATGCTGATTGGACGGTCTGGGAGTTGCGAGGAGTGTTATGGAAAGACGTAAAAATAAATTGTTACCCTAATGTTTAGCATAGAACATCGTGAAATAAAGAAAGGAAAGAAGGGAAGAGGGATGAAACAACATGGGCGAGGTAACATACTTAAGCCAAATGGTTACGAGAAGGGTCATGGGTGAACTGACGTTCAGTGTCGGCTCTGGACCAGGGTGGCCTTCCGGATTTAACAAATTGTTTTGTGAACATAGAGTTAGTTACAACAATTTTATTACTAACGCCTCTGATGCAGCAGGATGGCTCTGTCTGAGGGCTTTTGGGGTACGCTGTAGATCATTTTGAACGCATTTTCATTTATTTAACGTCTGGTAGCTACAAAGTGCACCGCGATTGCAATCGAAATGGTCCTTGTTGTTCCCGTGTCTAACCAAGCCGGTTTGTGTTGCTTGATTATCTGAGAAAACTACCTGTTCGTCCTGCCTATGTAGCCTGCCGAATATGAGCAAACAAAAGAATAGGTCAACATGGGGGAAGTGAGGATCGGTAATTTATCTTTGAGATCCAATGAGAGCAAGGATCGGCTGGTGAATTGTGTACGTAAACGGGCCGCAGGAATCGTTCGAGCGATTGACTTAGCTAAGTGTCCTGTTAACCAATCACATTTGTAGTCACATTTGAACGGTGAAAGTATATAGAATTAATTTTGGCTAACTGTAGTCACCGTTGGTCTTCAGACCCCTTCACATAGATTCTTATGAATAAATATCTCGGGATAGCCACTGCCCAAAAGTGTCTGCTTTGCCGATTCAAGTCTTACTCCGGGTTTTCTGCTGAACATACGCTTCTAATAGGAGCAGCTTGGGATCGGACGAGGTTTCGCTTACGCCTCAAGGTACCAAACTGGAGAAATGAGTATACTGACCTATTTATGTT